CTTAAAATTTTTTTTTTTTTTTTTTTTTTTTTTTTTTTTTAATATGTTGTCTTCACCAGTCTGTCTAAACTGAACTATATGTATTTTGTAATGGAGAAAGCTTTTAAAAAACCTATTTTCTAGGAATAAGAGTAACTTGTTGTTTTGTTTTCTTAACTTTAACATTGCAGCTTTGTGGGCATGGAATTAGCAGAAAGCTGGAAATATCTATTTAAAAAAAAATCCTCTTTGGATTGAGAATTTAAATGTTTAGTTTGATATAGTACGTACCAGTTCCTTTGCTTATATATGGAGGCTTGAAGAATTTTACAACACCATATAAGTTGACTGTAGTACCTCCTGTAAGACGATTCAGAGGGGTATACGTGTATTTCAGAGCAACAGGCTGGGAAGATAAGATAACATCTGGGTATGATAATGTAATTCAAAAAAATATTATGCCCAAACTATTTCTTTATAAACATTTTATCCTTTTTAAAGGCTATCCGGTCCAGTCCCCATGGGTGGTAGAGCAGGATTCCATCTTCCTCATTTTAAAAGCTCAAGATAAATACACCCACTGTCCACAGGCAGTCAGCAAGCATGAAGAAATTTCATTTCCACTCTCCATTGCTTTTCATGATTGTTTCCCTTATTATATACAACTGCATTCAATTGAATTTGAACGAGCCTCTCAGTGAATTAAAAAAAACCCAAATATGACAAAACACAGTAAAAATACTTTTTTGATTGCTTTGAACATGCTTCAGATCAGTGTAGCATCTGAAGACATTTATAGATGTATTAGTACAGGGATGGCCAACCTGCAGCACACAAACTACAAGTGGTATGGGTAGCCTGTGGTATGGGTATGGTACAGCAGATCAGGGAAAGGATAAGCAGCATAGTGGTAGATAGGGCAGGAAGCAGAAAGAAGAGCAGCAGATGGGAGAAGAAAACACAGAGCAGAAAAAAGAAAGCACAGCAATGGATCAGACAAGGGAAGGACATTGGAGTGGCACTCAGGAAATTATGGGGTTAATTTGTGACCCACCTCCCAGAAAGGCTGACCCCCACTGCAGCAGTACATAGAGACAGGCAATTTTTCTTTGTACATTAGACATAATTCTGCTTTTGGATCTTAGATCTCCAAGCAAGTCATAAAGGAATAATATTTTACACTGTCACCTACAGAGGCAAGTTGAGGTTGAACAATATGCCAGTTTCTTTCAAGAACAACAAAAAAAGTTCCACAAAACTAACAATTTGTGGATATCAAAGCTATGCCAAAAGAAAATCTCCACTAAAATACATGCAGGGCCCTGGCAGAAATTAATATTGCAATGGGATCTGAGGAATTCTATCACAGATCCCCAAAACCACAGATCCTGCTATGCCAGACGTGCATGACAGCACACGTGATTTTGGGGTTTGGGGGTAAAATGTCTCAGCTCCTGTGCCATGTCAGGGGTCGGCCTTGATCAGGGACCCAGTCCTTGATCCAGAGATCCTCTCCTGCCTAGACCTGTAGGGCACGTCCAGACGAGCACGCACGTGCCTCTTGCCCCGCCTCAAATCCCTTTGAGGCAGGGCAACGGGAATGTGTGGGAACGAAAAAATGAATACAAACTTGCAGCACGGGGATAAAATTAGGCCCCTGGATATCCAGGGGTCTAAAAAAACCCAAACACCCTGCTCTGCAATAGAGGAGAGCAAAGCATGGTTCAAGACTGTGCCTGGAGCCAGTCCTCCAAAAGAGATGCTCTGGTTTTGGCCAGAGGGCCTCTTTGGTGTTCCTGCTGCCCCTGGCACTGTCAGAGGCAAGTTGGGGGGGAGGGGTTTCATGAGTGTGGGTGGGTGAGGGGTGGCAGGGGGATGTGGGGGGAGTT